ATATCCAAAATTTGCCTTTCCTAGCAACAGTTCATAAAATTCAAATAAACAAATGCACTCAGATATCTATAAATCATAAAAAATAGTATTTCCTATAAATTCATAAATAAACTATATTCAAGTGTTTTCCTACTTGTATATTCTATTAGAAAAATCAAAATTGTATTTATAATGAACTTCTAATTAATAGTATTAGAACATTTTTACATCTTTATAGAACAAGGAAAAATGATTACATTAGTATAAATATCCTTATAATGCTTATTAATTTCTATTAAAACTTTTATCTTTCTACAAATGTCCTTTCCACTAGCCAGTACTCTTTTATAGTTAAGAATAGAACTCCTTGTTAGCACAATGTTTGACAATCAGATGATACTCAAATGATACCTTTGAAATTTACAAAGTTAATACAGCCATCTCTTTTAAATATGGCCATACATCCCAAATCTCATGCATATCAAATCTCAGAGTCTAGTATCTCTGCAACTTGGTATGCACTAGGGATCCATGCCTAACAGCTACATGTTTCCTCTAGATACACATTAAGAAAGTCCTAGAGTTTTCATTGGCTTCCTATAGACTGAATTTTACAATTTTTTTCTTTGGTCTCTTATATCTTGCTTTGTCTCAAAGAAAGGATGTAAAACAGAGCTGATTTTGAAAAAGAAATCAATAGGCTGTTCAGAGCTAAGATACTAAAAGCCAAGATAGAGAATTTAAAAGTTAAGGACATGAAGGAATTACTGCATTTGAGTGACATTGCAAAAGAGAAAGTGACTTAACTTGGGAATTGATTTTCTGTTCACAAAGAGACCAAAAGGTATCAAAGATTACTCCTCAAAATGTAAAATTTAGAGAAAAAGAAGAAAATGGCCTGTGACGGTGAGAAAGTTAGACAGCAAAATAACTCAAAAAAAAAAAAAAGTAAGTTGTACAAATACACATATACTGAGTCTAAAGGGGACTATAAGAATTAGAAATGCCAAAAGCAATGAATACAGAAAAGTCCAAAGAAAATAATATAAAATGACTCAGACTTCATTCATATAAAGAGAAATGCAAGTGAAAATCATTTTGGGATATTACTTTTTATATTTCAATATTAATAAAAGTTGAAAGATAATGTGACGTCCAGTATAGGGGTAAAGCATGTACCTTCTACATTGCTGGTGGAAATATAAATTGGGATAGTTTCTTAAGCTGATGAGTTGGTAGTTACCTATCAAATATATGCAGCTGTCTCTTTTTTCATCTAGCGTGTAAACTGTATTTCTGGATAAATGATTGCCCAAACATTGAGAAATGACTTTTAGAATGACAATGTAAAAAGCTCCCCAATTCATTCCCCAATGAAACTGATGAAAACTTTAAAATAATAATGATAATAACTACCTAAGTTCTCTGGAAAAGATCCTAAGAACAAACCCTTTAGCCAGCAAAATAGCTCAGTGGATTAAAGCGCCTGCTTAGACAGATGCAGGGGCTGAGGGTTCGATACCCGCTCCACACCCCTGTGCCGGCCCATGGTGAGAAGGTGACTGAGACTGGGCATGGTGGTGCATAACTATAATCCCAGCACTTGGAAGGCTAAGAACAGGAGGATCACTACAAGTCCAATCTGTGTAGTGAGACCTTGTAGACTCTGTACTAAATACATTTTCTAAAAAAAGAACAAACCCATAAAGAAAAATGTCTTTTTCAGAAACCTAGGAAAATTCACTAAGAAAGGTATATGTCTATGGTATCTGAACCAAGACAACTCCTTCTTTGTATGCTTCCCGCTCAAGAGAGGCTCTACTCCAGAGAGCTACAGTCAAGATCAAGTGACCCCTTCTCTGTATATTATCACCAGCTAACCACTGTAGGTCTTTCTTCCCAGAAGAAAAAGTGTAACAGAATATCACATCCTACTCCCATTGACTGTCATTGAGGCCAAGTACAATTTCAGGGGCACTTGAAATGAGAATTCATTCTTCTACCATCCCAAATTTATGGAATAGGCTCTACTTTGGGCACGCATATTAAAAGCTAGAGTCTTTATTCCAACTTGTGACACAATGGTCCCACAAAAATGGAGCCAAACAAGGATATAAAGGTATTGTCTCCCTTCTGGAGACTAATCAGTTCCAATAAGGGCTGATTTCCCAAATTGTCCCCAACACCAGCTCAAAAGCCTAAATCAGAGGGTTGTTTTTTTTTTTTTTTTTCCCTGCAGGAAAAAGCAGAATGAGAAACAGTTCCAAACCTCTTCCAAAGAAACTGATTTCATTTACAACACATTAAAGAAGTTCAAAGTCAGGGGCACTCTCAAGAACAATGAGAATTATGGTTAAAGGCAAATGAAAGAAGTTAAACATAGATTAAAGTTGTTCAGCGGTGGCAAACCTACAGCACAAGTGCCAGAGCTGTCTGTTTGCACCACTGAAAACTCTAAAAGGTTCGCCAACACTGAGCTAAACCACAGTCCTGCGGGAAGGAGCCCCTCTCGGATTGGAAAAAATATCAAACACTGATTGTGAAATGTCAAAACAGCCACAAATGAAATATATTTGTATATACAACAACTTATGCCTTAAGTCAACATTGAAATGATTGAGCAAAGAGTCATAGGCAATGAGCAGAGTTTAACAGCTGCATGCAAAGACAGAAAACAGCCCTGCCAAAAATACTGTGAGGCCTTAGGAACTGTGGGCACACCCACATTTGCCCTAAGAGTAACACCACCAGACTTAACACAGTGAGAAGGCAAAACAGACATCACTAACGTATAGCAAATAAACAACAACAACAAAAGAACAACAAACCTGGGTGTGAATATGGAGAAAGAGAACAGTAACTTGATTTACTATTTCTAAAATGTCCACTTTTCAAGAAGAAATTATAAAGCAAAGAACCAGAAAATATGACCACCCACGGAATTTAACCAAAGTAGAAAATAGAGTTCTAAATATAAAGATACTGCGTTTATTAGAAGCCCTTATGTATTAGAGACTGATGATCCTTATTCAGGTTCAGAATTTGTGCACGCACCTATACTAAAGTTTATTTGTAATACCAAAATCAATATAAGTAGTCATCTGAAAGCATGTACAAAATGGCAAAAAATTTGTGCCACCTTCCCAATCTGTTCCCAACCTACATCAAATAAGGTAACACTACCTTCCCGTAACAACTATCATTTTGTAAACACTTGTGTCCCTTTCATGATCTATGCAATACCACATTTTACACAGGCTTTTGGTTGACATTTGAAAGGATCATTACTGAGCAGTTTCCTATTGTTTCTAAGTGAAAGAAGGTTGTTTTGTACCACAGGGAATAATGTGTTACATAAACTCAGTAAAATTTAAATTATATTATATTATATTGGCTGTGAGTTCAATGTTAATCAGCAATAAATAGTAAATGAATATCTTTAAACAGAAACACACATAAAACATGGTTAAATGTTGATTTACTAACAAAACTGTTGTGACCAAAAGCTCACAAGAACCTAATCCTTGATTCTCCCTAGGAGAAATGGCTGTGTGTCTGCTAATTCAACTTTCCAAAAATTTTATAGAACATAATTATTATTAATAAATAGAAGTGACTATAACTATTGAAGTAATTATGGGAGAAATAGTTATGTCTGGAGTTTGCTGCAAAATAATCCAATGGCAGAGAAAGCAAAGGAAGATAATTTTTTAAAAATTGAAAAAATAATAAGATAGAAAGATAAAGAAAGGATCACAGAAATGGCAAAAGATGTCTCTCCTCTAGAAGCTTTATTCTACTTCTTGGAAAAAAATAGAGGGAACCTGTGATCACATTTCATCCCATGGATGCCTCAGGAAGTAACAAGGATACTTCAACCAAAGACTTAATTCTAATTATAAAAAGGGAAAAAATGATGAATAAGACATATAAGCAGCAGGAACAAAAAATGATTACAAAGGGCCAGCCAAATAGCCCAGCGGATTAAAGTGCCTGCAAGCAGGCACAGGGGCCGGGGGTTCAATACCCGGGCCTACAGTGTGGCCCTACCCCTGGGACACATTGAGACAGCAATTGAGACTGGGCATGGTGGTGAAAGCCTGTAATCCCAGCTCTTGGGAGGCTGTAAACAGGCGGATCACTCTGAGTCCAATCTAGATCTAGTACTGAGACCCTGAACACCCTGTAGACCCTTCCCTAAAATACAAAAAAAAAAAAGAAAAAAATTATTACAGTATTTTAAAGATCACAAAATTAAATACATTCAGGCATATATCACAGATTCTTAACAAATCAAACTCCAAAAAATATTAGAATAACCCCTGGGCTTGAAACTTCAGGAAAAAGGGAAAGAAAAGATATCAAGACACTTAGCCTCTCATTTAGCAAATGCAGTAGAATCCATTTAATAGGAAAGTGTTTTAACTGTTACACAAATGTACCTGGAAATACTATACAATAAATGTCTGATAGGCAGCACCCAGAAATACCGTTTTTAATGTCCAACGAGAAGCTCAATAATCTATATTTAAACCACAAGGCATCCCCTATAGGATAATAAGGCATAATGTGAAATTACTCAATCTATTCCCAAATACTTACTTAATCTGGCAAGGTCATCCCAAGGCTTTCATGTACAAAATGCAATTATTTTAGGGGAAAAGTGAGTTGGGCCTAAAAATTTCCCTATAGGAGCAATTTATGGAGTAAAATAACAAACAATAGGGACTCCGATTTTTAAAACCAAGCTAAAACACCTAAAGACAAATGTATAAACACCCTTTCATATAATTCATGCCATTGTTTTCTCTTATTTACAAACTCTCCAAATATGACAGAACATGACATATAGGAGAATGGGGCCTGCCTATACTCAGTAAATTAGCACCTTTTGCAATGAATCCAGTAACTATTATATTCTGTTCCACATTCATTTATAAGTCAAATTAACCTCTTTAGAATATTAATAACAAATACAGTCAACAAACCAAATATTCATGAAAAATAATTTGGGATCTCACCTTTCCACAACCAAACTGACAGCATGTGTAAGATCTGGGCTTGTTACTTGGAGACGTTTCCACAAAGACCACACAAATTCTTTATCAGCCTTAAAGAAATGAAAGCTATGTTAAGTGCAATGTTTGGTACCAATATCAAAGACATTATATTAAATTTAACAACACAATTACTTTCTCCCTGCTTCTTTAATTATGAATTCTTTAAGGCACAGTAGGAAAATTTTATTTGAAAAATCTCTCACAATGGTAACCTATATTTAGTTTTAATATTTCTGCTATCCCCAATTTGGGGTACAAATGTTGAAATACTGATTTGTTTTCCAAAAGGAAACTGCATGGCAACCATTGCTCCATTTTTCAGCTCTTCCTCTGAGCCAATTCTATTAAATAAAAAAAAAAAAAAAGAGTTGCCTAAAATCACTGTCTCTACTTCCCTACTTCCCATTCATGTACTTTATGTCTTCTAATAAGATTTCCATCTTCACCATTGGTAAAATCACTCATAAAAGTCCTCTACTCTGCCAAATCTAATAGACACTGCACAATTTCAGTCCTACTGCCTGTATTGGTTGTTATTAGCTCTTATTTGACAGTTAAGAATCAAGTTGGGGAAGTTTTTAAAAAATAGTGATGATCTAGAAATTCAGAATAATTAGTCTTAAATAAGATCCAAGCCTCTATACAGTATTTTCTGAAATTTCCTCACATGAATCTGTGTGCTCAAGTCTGACAAACAGTGCCCTGACTGTGTGTAAGTCCCATGGTTTACACACTAATTTTTCACTGAGATCACCACATTTCTATCTCTGTTTGCTTGACTAACTGGTCCAGACTTCTCTCTCCAGCTGCCTCCATCACAATTCCCCTGGAATACCTAACACCTTAAAGTTAGATTTTGTCTAAAGAACAATTCTTCGTTCCTTCACACTCACAAACCTGCCAATCTGCATCTCAGAAAATGACCCCACTATGTACTCATTAGTTCAAAGACCCAAAATGTAGAAGTTAATCTTGGGTGGTCTTTCTTCATGCTTCCTATCCAAACCATCAGAAATGGTCTTATCTGCAAAACAGATCCTAATTCTGATAACTCATCACTTTCACTCCTGTCACCCTAGGCCAAGCTAATTCCAACTCTTGCCTAGCTCCTTACAACAGTCTTTAGCTTTACTGCTCAGAACTTCCCAGGATTCCCCCTAGACTAGGAAGCAGTACAAACTTTTTAACAAGGCTACAAACCCCCACACAATGTGGCTGCAAACACACCTCTCCAGCCTCATCTGTCCCTCTGTTCTTTCCCTCACATAGATTTTGTTGCTCTATTAAAACTAGCATCTTTGTACGTAATTACTATTTACTAGGTTTTTATAGATTATGCCTTTATTTCATTCATGTCTGCTTAAATACCACCACCTCAAGAGAAGCCTTTCCTGGCTATTGTATTTACTATTGCTACCAAAATACAAATTTCTAATAACCCCTTACCTTGTTTCTTTCTGGGTATGTGTTTGTTTGTTTTGGGAGGGTTTTCTGATTGGTTTTTGTTTTGTTCTGTTTTGGTTTTGTTTGGCTTTGACAGACTTCATTTATTAGTTCTATATTTGGCTGTTTGAGTTTACTCTTGTGACAGATACCTCAATTTGTACCTGTCTCCATCCATTCTCTTTTAGTTGTAGAAAATATTTTCTCTCCTTGCTGGCCAACTATCACTATGGCCTCTGTTATCTATGGCTATGCAATTTAAATTCTGCCAATGAAATAAAAATGTTGCTAGAGCTTAGATAAATCTTAAAATTAGACTTATGTCTACCAAATGGCTTATAAATACTTTTTCTCAGTACTTTGCTGCTTATTTAATTTACATACTCAAATGTATCCATCTTTTTCATTATGGCTAATGGATTTTATGTATGAGTTGGAAAGTCAATCTGTATTCCAAGATTTAAAATATATTTATCGATATTTTCTTCTAGAATCTTAATATTATTTCTTAGTTGATATTATATGTATTTATAGTATATATGATATATAGCAGAATGGCTATATCAAGCTAATTAACATACCCATTAGCTCATATAAGTATCTTTTTTCTGAGTGAGAAAACTTAAAATCTATTTTCTCACCAATTTCCCAAGTATACAATACACTGTTATTCACCATAGACTTCATACTATACAATGGGTCTAGCAATTTGAAAAAAAAATAATAAATTCCTTGGCAAAAAATAACATGTCACAAATGGGCTGTGGAACTAAGTGATAGTTTTGTGAGTATTTTAGTTATTCAAATGTTGTATTATCTTCAAAGTGGATTACACCTCTAATTACTAAAAGCAAATCAATAGGGCTCCCGCACAACAATAACAAACCCACGGACAAAGAAATCAGGTAAACAATTCCATTCACAACATGAAAAAAAAATACCTGGTATTTAACCTACACAAAGAGTAAAAGATTTATAAAATAAAATGCATAGAACTCTGAAGTAAGAAATTGAAAAAGATATTAGACAATGGAAAGTCCTTCCTTATTCAGAGGTTGAAATGTTAAAAATGTTACAATGACCATATTTTCAGAAGTGATATACAGATTCAATAGAATTCTCCATTAAAATATCACCAACATTGTTCACAGAGCTAAAAGAAAACAAAAATTAAAATTCATATGGAATCAGAAAAGACCCAGAATAAGCAAAGAAATCTTGAACAAAAAGAGTAATGCTGGAAGCATCACAATACTGCATTTCAAGTTACACTACAAAGCCACAACAACAAAAACATGATATTGGAACACACACAAACACACACACACACAACAGAGAAGTAAACAAATGGAATAGAACAGAAGAAACAAACAAACACACATCCATCTGATTTTTGACAAAGATACAAAAAACATATGCTGTTGAGAAAAACAGCTTTTTAAAAAAACAAATAATGCTAGAAAAACCATATATTCACATGCAGAAAACTTACATTCAAAAATAAATATCTCCCCCCAAAAAAAGATAGAACTAGTTTTCCAAACTATTCCAGACATTATTAAACAAGAAAACGCCTGCCAACCACATTGTTTTTATAGTTCCCTTTTTGGGTACTTAAAGATGTTCTTTAAGAAAAAAAAAAAAAAATGAGAAATAGCTGAGCGTAGTGGCACATGCCTGTAATCCCACCACTCAGAAGGCTAAGGCAGGAGGATTGTTGAGAGTTCAAGACTAGCCTGGGCTACAAAGTGAGCTCATGGCCAGCTTGAATTGCATAGTAAGACCCTGCCTCAAAAAGACAACAATAAAAATGAGAAATAGAAACCTCTAATACTCATTGTAATAATTCTTTATTCTTATTACAGAATTTCCAGAGCCAAATAATTTAAAATTGCAAATCAATAGGGCTCCTAACGCTTTGTACAATGTTTACTAAACTCAGCACATGAAACAGCTGACTAAATGCTAGTTGATTTGGGTTTATATTTCCTTTGAGGTAGACTGATTTTTCTCTTTTATGCATCAGCTTCATTGAAAATAACACTATATTCAAATACAGGCATCCCAAAAGGCCTTTCTTCACGAAGTACCTATGCTCCAGACACTTGGATGAGTGTTGGAAACATAAGAGGCCTTCAATTGACCTCTACTGGTGGAATGAAGTCAACAAACATCCAAAAACTATTTCTTACATTTAAACCATTCTATCAGAATTCAAGGAAAGCTACAGGAGATATTTGCAAAGTATGACATGATATAACCATTTGGGAAAGTATCATTTTTAAAAACTACAGAAGAAGATTTACCTATTAGGAAACAGCTACTAACAGTGGGAAGAGTCTACAGAAAACAGCCACAAATTCATATTTTTTAGCACACCTAAATTTCTCACATAAATAAATCTGGCTTAATTCTCTCACATTATTAATACCAATTATCATCTGCTTGCAAAAAGATATTTACATCATTAAGTTTGCTAACTAACATGTATTTTGTCTTACAGTCCTAATTTTTTTAAAGCTGAAATTGGCTTATAGGTTTAGTGAGTATATCTGACTGCTACCAAACAAAAGTCAAGTTTTATAAACACTAACTTACTTTTTTTCAAATGGTATCATATAAATCGCGTTAAATGTGCATTTACCAATACTTCCAGCATCTTTTGTCACAAACTAAATACATCCTTGAAGGATACAATTAAAATTAAGAATATGATAAAACTAAATTCTAAATCAAAGAAATAAGGCATAAATGTCATGTACTCAATATTAACCTCTGGCACATCCTTGAAAACTCATTGAGAGAAGCTACTCTCAGAAGTTCAACTACTATCCTAAGCATGTAGTGTCCTTGCTAATTTGGAGGCCTTCTGGGGGGAAAAAAAATGTAATTATGTAACACAATCACCGAGTAGGATGAAAAGTTCCTGTTAAGAGAAATGCATTTTTATTACATATTTATTCTGAGACATTCCTATGGAGTCAAGTGCTACACAGAATCACTCCTTTCTCTTCTCCAATTGCCTAAAATTGAATTTCCATTGTGTGGACACATACACTAATCTAAAAGAAGCTACCACACATAATCACCAACTAATCAGCCGAGTTTGGTTTCCCATTAAAGTCATGAAGTTAATTTAGACCTGAATAACACTCACTCCCTGCTTTTATTCATTCATTCATTTCTTGGTGCTGGGCTTGAGCCTCAGGCCTAGCCTATATTAGGCAAGTGTTCTATCACTGACTGAGTGATGTACATTTGCAACCCTGAACAGCATTTTTTAAAAAGTTTACAAAACAGGATATTCTTTCTGAAACCATATGTGTGTTTTCTTACTAGGCTGAGATGTAAAATGAACTTCTTAGCTTTGTTTCCAAATTCTAGTAATTTAATAGTTTCCTCAGGTGTTGATTTCTAGCTGGTAAGTGGAATAAAAGACATGTAAAAATAAGTGTTTAATTACATTCTTTTTTACAAAATAATTGGGAGTTCAGTATTTTCCTATTTCCCAAAAGCAAGAGGCTGAAGTGATTAAAGTTTTATGGTGTGGGATAGTCTTAACTTCATTTGACATTACTGAAATGAAGAATCTTAAATTCTAAGACCATCTCAATATTTTTACCGTGCACACAGTACCGGAACCATCTTCCTCACCCAGATCTATCCAGGATCACAAAGGCCAATGCCTTCATCGGAAGCCACATTTTTAAAAAAATCTAATAGTGAACAGACTTAAGGGAAGGCGTTCACTAGGCTGTTTTCAACGAATAGATTTCCTTAGTCAAGTTAGGCATGAAAGTAGACATTTCAGCTCCTTAGCCAGTTAAGGTCAGAACTATGGAGGGAAATGGGAAAATGTAGAAAATTTGGGCAAATAATCTCCAAATAACGACTGCTTCATGACTTCTCATTTTTAACCAAGGAAGGTGGGGTCTGCTGGAGAAAATATTTTAGTTCATCAGTCTTTCATTTATCCCTCTGTTCCTTAACCAGTGAAAAACAATGTGAAAAATGAAATTTGGCCAGCCACAGGCTTACCCAACTTGTTTAAGCAAAGGTGTATTAAACCATTGTCCTGTTAGACCCCTGATCCAGTCAACAAGGACCTGTAAAAGGGGCAAAATAACCCAACAAAACAAACTGCAAGAATGAATTTCATTAAGTTTTATTAACCTAAACTGCTACTGTACAGTTACTTTGACAGCAACTATTGTTCAGCGAGTTCTCGACATTTAAGGTCCTGGCCCCTTGAAAAGCGGGTAGAGGCAGACCCAAAGGAAAACTAAATTGCGCCGCGTCAGGCATATACAAAATTTATAAGTAACAGAAAAGTAATGTTAAGGCAAATGCTTTTCACACAATCATCCAAAACGAGAATTCCCTCGTTCAAGGAGGACGGCTCGCCTTGCGCCCTGCAGCGGCACGTGCGGGGCGGGACGCTGTCCGCCCACGTCCCCAGCCTGAGGGCGGGGTCCGTGCTCAGCGCCGCAACAGCGCCCAGCGTGCGTGCGTGCGTGTGCAAACTCGGATTTCGCGACCGCGCGCCCCGCCCGACGCCCGCGGCTCCGCCCTCCGGGCAGCAAGGCGGCGGGGCTGCAGGGCGTGCGGGGCTACGAGGCAGGCAGGCGGGCGGGCA